TCTATACAAAAACGTCTAACACTATAAAAACATTTTATAAGATAAAAAAAATTAAAATTAAGATTTGAAAAAAATCTTACCAACCCCACACTTTTGAGCAGTATTGTATTATTCTGTTTTGCAGCCTCTCCAACTTGCATTAATATTTGAAAATGTATTTATTATCCTTTCATGAAAAAAATGGTTGCTTGTTTCTGAATCCGATATTATTCAAATCTGTTTTTTTTAATTGTTAGCGAAAGACTCTTCTTAATAACCCATTTCACCTCCATATTTAAATTCTGCCCACATTGGTCAGTAAGTCAAACCACAGTGAATCATTTACAATTTTCTTGCATTTGTGGGATCCATTTCTCTTTTTATTTCAGTCACATGATAACTGAATCTGTTATCATGTCTTTTTACAAGAACGAAAGTTTAAATGTCTGTGCCCACTCCACAATTAATTGTTTTATTCATAAATGCATAAATGTCTTTAATGTCATAAATGCATTTCATTGTCTTTGTATTCACTGTGTGCAACTCTCTCTCCATCTTTCTTTCATTAGGGTGTTTGTGTTTGTAGATCCTGCTGTGTTTCCTTTGTCTCTGATGAATGCGCTCAAGGCTGACGTGGAGTGTGCAGACCCTGGTAGAGACCCGTTGATCTACAAACGCAGAGTTTTACTGCACACAATGCTAGCTGGATTTGGAAAAAAGTGCCAGGTTGACCAACTCTCGCAGTCTCTAGAGGTTTGTGCATGTTTAAAAACATCGGTTATATATTTTATTTTAGAATACACATCCTATAGAATTTTAAATTGTTTTAAAAAATGGAGTCTGTATAAAAAAATTTTAAGACGTTATGCTCAACAAGGCTGCATTTATTTGATCAAAAATACAGCAGAAACAGTGGTTAAGTATTATAACAATTCAAAACCGTAATATTGTGAAATATTTTTACAATTTAACATATTGTTTTTCTATTTTAATATAATATAAAATTTAATTTATTTTTGTGATGCAAAACTGAATGTTCAGCATCATTACTCCAGTCTTCAGTGTCGCATGATCCTTCAGAAATCATTCCAATATGTTGATTTGGACCTCAAGAAACATTTCTTATTATTATCTATGTTGAAAACAGTTGTGCTGCTTAAGATTTTTGTGTATACATTTTTCTTTGATGAATAGAAAGTTAAAAATAACAGTGTTTATTTGAAATATATAATTTTTGTAACAGTGTAAATTTGTGACTTTACTGTCAGTTTTGATCATTTTAATGCATTTTTGCTCAGTTATAGTATAATGTAAATAAAATTTTCTTAAAGAACAAAATGTATAATTATGTAATTTTTACATGTTTAAAATACAGTAAAAATAATCAAATTAAATTACATTTTTAGTATATATACATGTATAAAACATTGTATAATCAAATTTCAGTAGCAAAAATACCCGCAGCAAGATATCACATGGGATGAGTCTGAAGTTTGAACCTGTTAATCCTTTAAGATGTCCATAAAGTCTTTGCTGGAAAATCCTATGCTCTAAATAACTGTGTGTATTTTGTTCATTTCAGCATTTAGGTGAAGAGCTGGAGCTGCACTTCCAGGATCTCGTCACCATCCTAGAGCAGAGAACAGAAGATGGAGCTTCTGATGATAACCAGTACAAAACAAGATTGCAAGAGATCTACCAAGACATCCTTACTGCTCCAAAAGGTAGAAATGTCCTCACCACAATCCAGTAAGACACTATTTAATTCAAGCAAACTCAAACACTCAAACTCAAACTCAAACAGTTTTTTTCACACGTTTGGTCTGTTTAGATCCGTCGTGTCCAGCCTCGCAAGTAGAAACTCAGCTGCCCAGTCCTGAGGTCAGCTTCCATGTCTGGACCAAAGAGGATGAGATATGTGAGCTCAACTGCTGTTATTTCAACAAATGCTTGTACCCTTAAAACTATGAAAGCTTGTTTCTGCCACAGAAAAAAATATATATTAAAAAGGTAATTGCGACTTTTTATTTCGCAATTCAGACTTTTTTTTTGCAGTTCTGAGAAATAAACTGCAAGTTTACGCTGTAAAAAGATAATAAAATAAAAATAATTTTGTTAAAAATACAAAAAACTGTAAACACATTTACAGAACAAACTGTAAATTCTGCAGTATAAAACCGTAATTTACAAACAATGAAAATTTGAATGTAAAATTCAACAACGCACACTGCTACTAAAATCTGTTTTGTACCTTTAACATACTGACAACCACCATAATAATGCAGGTGGTAAAAAAAAGAAAGCCACATGAAGAATCAAAGTTCATCAAAAGTAGCTTTCCCACAAGCTGAAGTATATACTAATATAATACAGAAGGTGCATTCATACAAACATCATAGTAACACACGTGACACTTAAATAATGCAGTTAAATAAAACATTCATTAAACAACAGATGTCATATAAAACCCAAATGTACATAACTGAAAACAAAAACTATTAAGAGACATGATTATTTAAACAAAATACTTTCAAATGTGGAGTTTCAGAACATAACGGGAAATTCTGGGAATATCAGTTTACCGTTTTTGACTGTAAATTATACATTGATTTGTTCTTTTTTACTTCTAAAAACTGTACAATTAAGATATCATTTTACTGTAAAATTACATGAAATGTAATGAGTTTTTCCATGTGTATAGTACGGGAACTTACTGAAAAGTCGAAATTGTGAGATACAAACTCTCAATTGCGAGAAAAAGTCTGAATTGTGAGATTAAATGTGGCGATTACTATTTTGATTTTTAATTCTGTGCTGGGGAAAAAAAAAGAATTGTGAGATGTAAATTTAGAATTCACAGAATTGTGAGACGTGTGTGTGACAAAAAAATGCAGTTTTTATAAGAAAAGTCTGAATTGTGAGATAAAAAGTGCCCATTTTTGTTTTGTATTTGTGGTGGAAACAATAAAAAACAGAACTGCGCAATGTGAACTCAGAATTCTGAGAAAAAAAATGAGAATTGTAAAATGTAAACACTATATAAACTCTAAGTTATGCCTTTGTTTTTCTTAGAATTGTAAGTTTTAGAATTGTGATCTTATAATTTTGACTTTTTTTCTCAGAATTGCATGAAAAATTATTTTTTATAATTATTTTTATATATTTTTATATAATTTGCAGTCGGTGGCGTGTCCTCCGTCGTGGAGTCTAGTCTCTATATAATAATTATTTTTATATTTTTATTCCATGGTGGAAATAAGCTTCCATATAAAACAGATCCAACATGGTGCGTTTTACATTTTTCTTTTTAACAGGGAATGAGCTGGTTAACTTTGCACTGATGGTTCCTGCGGACCGAAACTCTGCTTGTCTGGATGAGGATGACCTGAAGCGTAACTCGGTCATGTCCACCGTGTCCACGGACAGTGGCATAGAGGGAGACATGCCCATCAGTGAGCTCTCCTCTATAATGCTGGAGTCTCAGGGCGGCCCAGAGGAGCAGAGCAGCTCTCAGTCCTTCTACAGGAGGCAGTGTGTGCGATGTCCCAAAGCTGGTAACAGAATGACACTCATGATGGAGGCCATTAGGGGAAATGGAGGATACAGCCTTGCTAAAGAGGAAAGGAACCTCACGGCTCGGATCCTTGTAATGGGTGACGACAGAACGCTAGGATGGCTCGCCAAGACTCTCCACACTATACGGTAAGATGTTTTCATCCATTCTTTTACTCATTTTACCTTTGCATTTAAAAAAGTATGAGGCTAATTTATAATGTTTTCATCTTACTATGTTTGTGCTCAGGAAAAGGGAGGCACGACATCTGCTGCTGACAAAGAGAGTGAATATGGAGATGTATTACATTCCAGTGACTGACCAGACACTTTCTCCAGTTCAGGTAAAATAGATTTTGCTTTAGTTTTCCTTAAAAAAAAAAACGCCAGCAATGACATCTCACTGTAATGCATGTGCTTCCCAGGAGGGTGCTCCTGAAGACATGCTGACATTGGCAGGATATTTGGGAAGCTTGGATCCGTGGTATGACTGTAATATCAACGGTTTGGGAGCCATGATTCTAAAACTGGCCCAGATGGTAATTATTACACTTTTGAAGAGTCCACAATATGAATGGGAATTGTTTAGAATTTAATAATTCTGGTTCCAGTTCCTTTTATGTATTCTGGATCCTTAGCAGTTCCATTAAAAATATTTTAAGTGCTTTTATGGGATAAATAGGTGGAAAAAGAAATCAAATTTCATTGTTAAATCCAATTTTTTTCAATAATAAATAAATGTAAAATAATCATTGCAAAATGTATGTTTACATCTTGCATAGATCAAATGAAATGACATTTACATTGACAACATAAAGAATAATGAGAAGGAAAAATATTTAAATTATTTATTTTGAGTCCTGTTACAACAGCAGAGAAGGCTTTGTGTGTCTGTTGAAACTGAGAACATGCTTCTCTACTTGCTTGCTTGTTATGAATATATATATATATAGGGATTTAGGGAGTTTTTTAACCTTCTTAACTGATGTCATTGTAGCAGTTAAAGGTGCAATAGGTGATTGTCTTCAGAAACATTTTTTGTTATGCTGGTTGAAAGTCTCTTCACATCCCGATAGCAATCATTAAGTTAAGTGGTCTAAATGTCTTTATCTGTATTTGTATATTCTGTGGAAGGCGTAGGACAAAGAAATGTTCGTCCAATCAAAACGCTCGGTCCGAGTGTTCTAATTGGCTTTCCTACCTGCCTGTCAACGTATGTATTAGCATACCTCTGCGCACCCAGTTCGCGCAGACAGGATACGTCATCAGCGCGTTCACGCACGTTGTGCAGACAGAGCGAGAATGGCAGACAAACATCAACAACCCGATCTTCCTTCCTGGTATTGTAGTACTTTTAAAGTTTTCTCACCGGGGAATGACACATGATGTAGCCCAGCGGGGGAGCGCTCTGCATATTTTGCATGTCTCGCTTAGTTAACACACCCGATTCAGATAACCAGCTCGTTAGA